GCCGTCTATTTCTACTAGCTTTGAAGCAGCTTGATAAAACTAATAGCGACACAAGCTCGAGATTTATAAACGAATCATTGGGTATGCTATTGATAATTTTAAGCATTGAAATTATTATAATTTATTTAATTGTTAATTTGTAGCTTTATAAACTTTAAAAATAAACTCTTGTTCATTAAAACTTACTTGAAAATTATTGGTGATGCAATAGAACAATTAGAAACTATAGGTTTAAAATTAAACCAAAGTATGGAAATTGTGGAAAAAATCTTTAAAAAACACACCAGGGAAGGTGGGGGAAATGGCTTTCCAAAAATTATGTTTTCTATTAAAAAAAAATCTAGGATACGATTTTATATGTTCAGTAAATAACCTAATTTGCGGTAATGGAAATGCTACCAACAATACATACATAAATGGAAACGTAGATTATTCAATATTTAATTTTGCACCCATCACTTAGCACAAAACTTAAAAGTGTTTTAAGCGATCAAAGGTGTAAATTTACAATCGAAAATTTAGAGAAATATATAGTGTGCTTTTGTAACTCATTTTAAATACCTGAATTAATATTTTATTTCTTGTTAAATGCGACTTCAATTACACGAATTTCATTTGCGACACCAATAGCGGTAAATCCTCTATTTTTTGTTTCTTTCGGCCAATTTTGACTAAACGTTTTTTCGAAAGATTTAAAGATTTGGTCTGATGGATGCCGCCTATCGGGATATCTTCTTTGGTAAAGATTTGCTGCTGCAACGGCATTTTTTCCGCATTCTCCAAAAATCAAGATCATATCAAAAACTTCTCGGAGCTCAAAATTGACAAATAGAATTATTGCGAAAGTCAAAATTAACTATGTTTGTGTATTTGAGGAAAATAAAATAGAAAAGGAGTTACATATGAATATGAGATGTGTATTTTGAGTTGCATTGAAATTTGGCCGTTATAATACTCACCCTGTGTATTAAGACCCACCAATGACCCGGAAATGACCGGCATTCAGGCAAGACTTCTATCATTACGGGTACTAAGACCAAGTAATGATATGCATTGATTAGATTAACAGAACAACTTTCGAGATTCTAGAATTACAGCATACAAATTAGTCTGCTATTATTCTCTAATCTCACCCCATCCCCAAAAGTCTAGCGTAACTACCGACCATTTATCCGCGCATCACTTCGAAAGTGACCTACACTACTCTGACCTACTGGTGCTAATCTAATCTGACTGACATGATCAGACTGTTCAAGAAACTTACGAACAATATGACATGTTCCTAACAAAACAACTTTTTGAATTTTGATAATTATTGAATCATTCAAATGCAAAGACTTTAAATTCTCAACTAAGCTATTTGGAACTACACCTACATTAGAGATAACTAGGGGTAGAATTGAAATTTTTTTAAGATTCAACATGGATTTCATTTCTATCGATAATTGTAGATATTTTGAAATCTTGGTGTGGTATGTTTGAATAATGTTGTTTGTGTTAGGAACAGCAATGTCAATGAGAATGGCTTCGTTCGTGTGTTTTTTGATAAGTATGATGTCTGGTCTGTTAGCTGTAATGTTTAAGTCTGTAAGTATTGTGCGATCCCAGTATAATTTGTATTTGTTATTTTCAAGGAACGGAGATGGAATGTAAGTGTAATAGGGTGTCGTATCTTCGATTAAGTTCATAAGTGTAGCTAATTCTTTGTGGATGATTTTGGCGACGTTGTCGTGTCTAGCTTTGTAGTCAGTTTGTGCTAGAATGCTGCAAGAAGAGATTATGTGCTGGATCGTTTCAGGTTTTGCTTTGCAGAGGCGACAGCAGTCGTTTCTTATGTTCGGATCTTTGATGATGTATTTCTGTAATTCTTGGTATTGATTACTTGGTCTTGAATAGCAAACACAAATCCTTCTGTTTCGGCATACAAACTTGATTTTTTTAACCAAATCAGTGACATCTTATTGACATGACTTTCTTCTAAGACTTTGTTGAATTTTCCATGTAGTTGTTTTTGTTTTAGCCCACTTATTATTTTGTCTATTGTGTGGGGGGTGTGGATTTCTTCGGTGTTCGACAGATTTAAGGGTGTGTGATTCAAATCTGCTCTTGTGATGGTGCGAAACATTTCATTTCTTTCCGCTCGTTTCAAGAAATACTTCTTCAAATTTGAGATTTGTCTCTGATATAAGTTTTCTAGGTTCTGGAAACCCCTTCCTCCATTCTGTCTTGGTAATGAGAATCTTTCAATCGACGATTTTGGATGATGCCTTCTATACTGTGTGAAAATTTTCCTTATTGCGATGTTTAAATTTTCAAGATCAGTTTTGGACCATTTAATGACTCCAAAAGAATATGTTAGCAGTGGAACGCAGAATGTATTTACTGCTTTCATTAATTTTTTTCCATTTAACTGTGTCTTCAATATTAATTTTAATCTCGCTAGGTATTGATCTTTCAACTGTGTTTCCGTTTTGGTATGATTGATGTGGGAGGATTGACAGAAACCCAGATATTTGTATGTATCATTTCGTTCTTGGGCTTCGATTATTTCCTTATTCTGGGTGATATGTGGTACTTGGTGTTGGATGCCTTTTCTGATTGCTTGGGTCTTACATTTCTCAATACCAAAAGACATACCAATATCACCGGAAAATTATTCAGTCAGATTTAATAGGTTTGTTAACTGATTTTGTGTACTTGCATATATTTTTATGTCATCCATATACAGCAAGTGACTTATTCTGTTTTCTCTTTGTTTGTTAATTCTTATATTGAACCCATAATTGCAGCTGTTCAGGATATCGAAGAGGGGATTTATTGCTAAGCAGAACCATAACGGGCTAAGAGAGTCGCCTTGAAAAATTCCTCTTCGGATCATTATTGGGTCTGACTGAATTGTTTGTTCATTTAAGGTTATTTGGAGGGTGGTCTTCCAAAATTGCATGGAACATTTGAGAAAAGTGCAGATTTTAGTATCAATTTTGTATAATTCCAGAATTTTGCATAGCCAGGAATGAGGAACAGAATCGTAAGCTTTCTTATAATCAATAAAAGCAGTATATGTGTTTCGGTTTTCTTTTCTAGCTTGTTCACAGATGATGGAATCTATGATTAATTGCTCTTTGCAACCAAAGGATCCTTTAATACATCCTTTCTGTTCTTCATTAATGATGTCAGAGTTAAAACAGTGTTGATAGATTTTTTGTGTAATACATGAGGTTAATATTTTATAGATTGTCGGTAAACATGTGATAGGTCTGTATTTTGATGGATTTTTTGTATCGTTATCTTTAGGTTTTAGGTATGTTACACCATGACATAAGAATGTTTGAAAGGAGGATGGGTCAAGAAGGAACTGATTTAAGTGATGTAGTAAATGAATATGTACACAATTTAATTTTTTTATCCAAAAATTATGGATTTTGGTCCTGGTGATTTCCAGTTGTGTGTCTTATTGATGGTATTTATTAATTCGGCAAGTGTTCTCTGATGATCATTCATTGGTGTAACTGTGGATAGTTTATGGGATAGTTTGTGTTATTGTGTTACCTGTATAGACATTATGTCTGTTGGTTTAGAATAAACATTATTATTATTATATGAGGAATCCATTTGGCAGATTGGTTAAATTCAAATTCTTGAGACCAAAGTTTTGACCAAAATGTTGTTACATCCTGTGAACTTGGAAGTTCACCGGATAATTGAGTTTTGCTTGAATTAGTTAACTGTTGATAGAATAGTTTTTCGTTGTTTAAAAATTTAGTGTTATGAATTTTTCTGAGATGTGATTGTTTGTATCTTTTAAGTCGTTTGCTATACATATAAGGAAAGTTTTTGTAATAGGGTATCTTTAATTTGGGATAGTGTTGTGTTGTATTCATCGTAATCAGTTTAATGAAAATTATTGTTGGTCAGTATCGAATGCATACATGTCATGATATGTGGTGTTTTAACTCCTCTAAGGTACTGTGTTATTTGACCTAGTTGTTTTCTAATGTTATTAATTTTATAATTTAACCGTGTTTCCCAATGCGGGGTGGAACGTATACGATTGGTGTTTGTATTTATTATGTTATCTTTACATGTGTTAATTTGAATACAAGTTAAAGCTGCACAGTAGATAATTGTATGAAGTTTTTCAAAAGAGATCGAGTTTGTGAAATATTTTTGTAAAATGAAGGAGTTCATTATTTCTACAATTGCCAGAAACTTTTTAGAATAACACTGGCGGGGAAGTGAATGTCTATCATTTGGTTTTAATTTAGAACATGTTTCGAAAGTTAATTTAAATTGGTCTTCAATTTCATTTTGGAAATTAATGTGAAATTTAAAATTGTTGTTTACAGTTTTGATTAATGTGTCTTCGTTATTGTAGTACGTGTTTTGTAGATTATCTGTGATGCTAATTTGGTTTTGGATTGTTCTTGATAAATTGTTGAGTGATTTGTCAGTTATAGGGCCAATTCTGAATCAAACCTGTTAAAATTTAAAGGTTGTTAAAAAATAAACAGCCAATCAGATTTACGAATTTAACTCGTTACTATGGAAATTTGCATTTTAACACCCTTTAAATTTAACAAGTTTGATTCAGAATTGCCTCTAATGATCTGTTTGATAGTGTGTTGGTAATTTGTGTTATGGTTGTGATCTTATTTTGAGGTGTTTTGTTTAATAAATCTTTATTTTTATTTCAACGAATCATTATTGTTACTGCTACTATTTTCTTCATTGTGGTTATTATTGCTAATTAAGTAATAACCTTCGTAATTTTCAAAAAATTAAAATGTGAATAGCATGACATTACTTTTTTAATAGTGCTTTTTCGTCTATTTTTAAATTAATAACTTCGCATCTTATGATTATTGTGGAAATGTTTTTTGATGGTTGTACAAAAAAAAATTAACCACACAATGAGCACATATCAGTTTTCTTCACTGTCTACTATTCTGTTTTCTTTTTTATATAATAAGTCTTTAAATTTGTAAATAAAATGTTCTTACCCGGTAACGCAAAACTGTTGTGACTTCGTCATCTCGACGAGGGTCATATTTTCCACATCCGAATAGCAAAAACCAATGAATACGCCAGTTTTGCTGCCTTTCAGTTCTAACGGATTTACTCCAGCATCCATAATAGCTTCAATGACTGTTTCCATTAAAACTTTCAATGAGGGATCTAAATTCTTAGCTTGACGATAATGTAGTCCAAAATACCCAGCATCCAATTTGTTAATATTATTAATGTTAGCACTTCTTTTTGGTACATCGGGATGATCCAATTTCCATCTTTTCTCATTTTCGGTAACCATCTCCGTTTTGTTAAACAGATTGTCACGAAACTCGTAGACATTATCAGATTCGGGAAAACGACCAGACATGCCAGATATGACAACTTCCTCACCGGCTGGCGGAGAGGATAACCAACGACCATATTGAAAATTAACGTTAAATAATTCTTTTTCTTGAGTTTCGTTTAGATCAGTCATGATCTACCCAACAATATTAACAACCTAAAGGCAAACAAACAAAAAAATAATCGATTATTTTGATCACGAAATCTACACTTATGTATAAACTTTACAGCGGAAATGGAGGGGAATTTTAGTGTTTTAGAATACGAAATAGAAAAAATTAACATCTTCAATGAGCCTCCGTGCGCCAAACAATTCAACACACAATCCATGAAGCGTTAACAAATTACACCTTTAACTTAACTGTACCTTAAGAGTTTGGTTAATGTTTCACCATGTAGTTACACAATAACTTAAAATATATCTAATATTTCATAGTTCTATAGTTTTGAAAATTGTCTAGTTAAATAATGATTTACAAAAAACAGACAAAACGATGGACTACAAACTATACAGTGTAAAATTAAGTATTTCAATACTTCTCTGGACCTTCGCTCTGGAAGCTGTCTAGGTCATAACAAAAAAACTGTCAATAAATACTAAAACAGTCCAGCAAATAAATATATAAATATCCTGAACCTTCAGTTAGGTTTTTTACTTCAAAGGAATTTGAGAACTTAACTCTTGAGTTCTCATGAAACGCCAACTAATATTCGAAAACATTAACAATGTATTTGATTTAAACTTTCTTTTAGGAAAAAATGGAAATTTAGGCCCTGTTATTGTTGCTTCTGTCAAATGTTTTTACATCACCTTGAACTTTACCTTGCCTTCTAACGTCAGCGTCTACGTGGGTTAGTCACTTTGATAAATTTGAAGGAGCAACCCTGACAATACTTTTAATTCATTAATCTTTTAAAACAGTGTGAATAGGACTGTTCCTAAAATTTATAAAACACTCTGCATACTATACCCTTCTATGGGAACAGCTTTTATTATAATAATCTCACGGATACAACGTATATTTAATTCAAACGGAAATTTCAAAAAAGTCCTTCGTTTTAACCAAAACTGATTCATTTTTGCTATGTAATGCTTATAAAAAAAAAACATATAGCAGATAATGTGAGTATAAGAAAACACGTGATTTGTATAAAATTGGACAATCATCGAGTCTTATACACGTGTTCATTACGAATTTCAAATATATTTTTTCTACCGCCCACGTTTTTTGGTTTTCTAATAGAGCTATTAACGCACGCAAATGACGTCACAGCAGTTCGTTAATAGAGGAAAGGCGTTCTTTAATAGATCTGGTGTAATTTAGATCGGTAAGATTGGTAGCAATGACGAGAAATGTCAGGTGAATGTCAGTGGCAAATCTAAACTTAAAATTTTCCATGTTTCCGGACACGTAACTTCTTCGCAAGACATTTTAACCAATTTTAAATTACAAAAACTCGAATTGGTTCGAATTACAATTGTTGTTGTGAAAATTCGAACCTCAAATATTTCGTGGTTAGTGTCAGACCGACCCATCACCAACCACGACAAAAGTCCCCAGATTAAAAAAAAATGCAAATTTCAATTAAATTTTGGGAAAAAACGTGTGCGGTAGAAAAAATAGTATAAATAACTCGTTCATAAGGCCATTGAGGCACTCATCCTTTATATAACTCGCGGCTTCGCCGCTCGTTCTATAAACTTGGATTCGTGCCTCAATATTTGCCTTATGAAACTCGTTCTTTAATATACTATAACCTAACTCTCCAACTAAAATCAATGAATATGTTACTGTTGTTGTTACCAAATGCATTCATTCATTATTTATTAGCTTACAGTCGAAAAAAGTTACGAAATTTGCATAAATTAGTAACTTATTTTTTCCGTACTTCAGATATGGAATTTGTTATCTTGTGCGTCAATGGGAAACAACGAGTCAGCGATTAGCAGAAAGGTAAAACATCAGCTAGAGCTGGCCTTGGCAGAAACTACGGAATATGGAACACCAGCAGGTAATTTAATGCCAGAATATTTGTAAGTAGACCACTAGTTAATTGCGTCGAAATTAGCATTATGCATATTTCAAAGCTACTAATGGTATAATCAACTACGAATAAAATCGCGTGTCTCGTCCATTTGTTTTCCCGAAGCCAAAAAAAAAAATGCCAAAGAGGGCAAAATATGTTTTATAACTAACATTAACGTCCTGCAAAAGTTCTTGTAATTTGTACGGAAGATCTAAAAATCTCCGTCAAACGAATCATACACAGAAATAAGTACTACGTTTTTGTTCAGTAGTAAAGTAGCTTTGGTATGGACTTTATAACATTCCTGAAAAAATTGGTCTGAGGTTACTTTGACAGAACTTCCCTCGCTCTTGAAGTACAGTCCAACAAATTCCGCTTTGAAAAATTATACAAAAAAAAATGTTATAATGTAATAATGTTCATATGTATATCAAAAACCAATGATGTAAATGATACCTCGAACCCCCTGTACCACGCAGGCGCAACTTCTAACGAGGTGACGTCCACAAATAAACGGACAATATGAAATAAATTCAAAGCAAATAACCAGCAGAAAAGAGTGTGTTATTCAGTGTACATGCTTAACTTGGATTGTTTATGTTTATACATCAAAAGAATGTCACGTAGAAATTTGTTTGATTTGATCGGTCCAGCAATTTCGGAGATTATGTGTCTAATAAAAATGCATACAGATACTAGACAGACAGACAGACGGAAACGGGATACTACTTTTGTTGTACTGTAGGGGTCATGAAACGTCGAGGACGCATAAAAGTGGCCATTTGTCCGATGGACTCGATTGCTTGACTTGCTTAGCTTACGCTCGGGATGTAAAAATTAATAAAACTCTACAGAAACGTTGGGTAACCAGCGAATTGGCATAAAAGATGTATATTCCCTACAATAAACATTTTTGAGTCAAAACTAAATGAATTTTCTGAACATTCAGTTGAAGTTTTATTCCAAAAAAATTGACTGTTTAACACTTGAGACACTACGAATTATGTATTTTAGATAACCGAACAAGCAGTAAACCAGGGGGGTTAATTCTGGTGATCTTGGGGGGAACTGAATGTAACCTTATCACTCTATTCTCAAAGAATTTGCATTCACATGATAATCATGCTTTGGATTTCGGCTGCGAGTAGTACATAGCACGACGCATTTTGCGGAGTTAATAGGCAGCAAACATGAACACAACCAATTGGCAACCACATCTAAGTCATTTTGCACAACAGTAAAATTGCAGCTCTTGTTATAGATTTTCAGATCATCCGCATACATTACAAAAGGCGCCTTCAGAGAATATTTAATGTCGGAGGTATAAATAACAAAAAGAAGAGGCCTAAGTACCACTCCCTGAGGAACTCCACTCAGAGCTCTCTTTTGCATACTAAGCACGTCACCCGCATTAACACTGAACGACCGCTTTGAAAGAAAAGCCTCTATCCAGCGAAGAAGGTTTTCACGGACGACAAAGTGGTTGAGCCTAAGTAGAAGATGTCGCAAAGGCGCCCGATCGAAGGTCTTCGAGAAGTCCATATACACAACATCAGTCGATTCGCCGGAATCAAGCCAATTCATGTTAAGTTTATTACCCTAATATAGAAATAATGATATAGGTACGTGTATTTTTATTTGAATTAATGTTATCATTCAGAAATTGGGTCACAGTCCAAATTTAAGTCGGGCTTACATCAAATTACCTTACTTACTTACTTAACTCGAAGTTAATTTAAATCCATCCGAAAAAAAATGGATTTTTTTAATAATTAATAGAATTACCTAAAGACTCATTGATAACTTAATTTTTATATTTGTGTTTATTAAGAAAACACCTACATTGAGACGTAACGACCAAGCTCAACGACACTAGCTGACCAGGTATTTTGGTTTAAAAAAAAAAAAAAACGAAGAAAAGAAGATGATTACTTTATTTACAATTATGTTTTCGCGGCTACGATTTCGACAACAGCATTTACAAGATCTGGACTATTTAAAATTGTTACATGGTCACTATCTACTGTGATTACTTGTGTCAGGTTATCGCTTACTTCCGACATCTGATAATTAACTCCTTCTTCAACCATAGAAGATTTTGCCTTCAATAAATGCACAGCCGATTTGATTTTCTTGTTTTTAAACCTGTAGTTCAGTATAGCTTTACAACGATTGTACAGTGCAACACCTGCCTGCTTTTCTATTTTTTGTTTATTACTTGTTTCAGGAGGTACCAACGAAAGACACAAATCCATTCGATCTTCTAAATTTTTGCACTTCAACAACGTTTCCTAAAAAAACGCACTCTGGTTATGCAAACGCAAATAAGTCGGCTACCATTACCTCATATTGCGAAATTACATCCAACGGAACCACAAATGAAGAGATTTTGCTTAAAATCGCTGTCTGGAACTCGGCATCTGTTTGATGAGGGAATTGTTTTTTTAGAGACGAAGTTATGTATGCTGGTGAGCCGTCGATTAGAATCATGATACCATGATAACCCTTCTCTTCTAACAAACTGATCATTTCTAGACCGACCAAAGTTCCGAATGAATATCCAATCATGTAGAAGGGGATATTTCCGGATAAACAATTTTCGATGTACTGAAAAATTATGGTTTTGGAATAAATTAACTGTAAATTTTTACATTTTAGTGTACCGGCAATGCATTACGTGCAGTTTCTTCAATACTGTCTTCAGGATTTTTATAGCTGTACTGTATTCCTATAACGTGAGCTTGTATAGAATTTGTCAAATATTCTAGTGGTTGGAAGACGCCTTCCACTCCTGGTAATACGAACACGGTTGGAGCTTCTAGGTGTGAATCAATTTGACTATTTAATTTAAAAGCAGGCAACTGACTAGTTTCGCTGTTGGGAATATACTTAATAAGAAAATTTGTGCCTTCGTCTACTTTTTTGTTTACAACTTTTCCAGATTTACTCAAATTCTCTGCCTCCATCTCAGTCAGTCTAGAATTCAAAGCAGCAACATTATAGCAACATTTTATTAATGACGTAATAATTACTTTGCAAATGTCAAACTTCTCACATCTTTAGATGTTACGTAGATTTCAAAATCTTTCTCCAAAATTTGAATAA